CTGTACCGTTACCGTTGAAGCCAAAACATTTCACATCCATGCAAAAGACCGAACATTAAGCATGTGTGGGGGTACTTAAAGAAGAGTCGTTCGGCTCTTCACCAGAATTTGAACTTTCTTTTCTTTTGATGATCCATGCTGCACTGATGCTTCTATTGATTTCTTGTCCGTGAGGATAGTATGCAAGTTGGACAAACCACACGAACAACCATACCAATTCGCTTTCTATTTCGTTCAGTCGGTACATGTCCGTTATCATTCGGGATTATTAGACAATTGAACATCCATTAGGTTTCACTCGCTTTAAGTACAAGCCCTAACAGCTCAGTAGCTCATTGGATTCCTTGAGCACGGCTTGCATTCGCCAAGAGTTGGACTTGACTTGAAGAGAGAGAGACTTGAAAACATCGTAAGGTAGTTGAGATGGCGTCGTTCAGTGGGGTACCTCTGATCGTCCTATTTGGTCGAAATACATCTGCAGCGTAAGAATTAAGAAGGTAACCGATCATCTTCACGGACACCTCTTTGAATATCAATCTCGGTTTTCTGAGGTCTCCTTATTCCGTATGAGCTATCTTCCAGCGGAATACGATTGTAAAGGCACCAAAGCTTCTTCGAAGTTGGAGAAGGCCACGTAAACAGGTTTTCTCACTTCTCTGTATTTTTGCAGTAGACAATTCACGGACGATTACGAGTGTAGAAAGCACCTCTGGAGCTAGCTTGTTATACAGGAACGGATTGGCTGCTTCTATAGTCCACGGTACAACCGGCTAACAGGGCCGAACCGCGGACTAAGAAAGCGGCTAATCCGATCTTGAATAACACGGGGGCGGCGCTTGCCCCTTGTTTACAACTTGGCCGATACCGCCGACCAAGTAGTCCCCCAGCCGCCGCGCTCGCGGGTCGAGTCGCGGACTATGAAAGCAGTCATTCCATAAACACCTCTCCCATACGCTTAGAACGCACACGTAAGAACTTCGAAAACAATAGGAAGTTGAGAAAAATGGCGCTAGTCGCACTCACTGCACGTAGGAGCGTGCACTGTAAAAGTGAGATTTGTATTTTCAGCTAATGATTACGGTAATTGCCGCGATATTGCGTCGCGTGCGTAGGATTTTGAGTATAAACCCCCGTATTCTGCCCGTACCCACATGATGCTCAGTGAGTCCTATAAAGGGAGGGACCAATGCTTATTGATCGATCCTCGTGGCAAGTTTCTGCCATTTTCAGCCGGCAATTTTTACAGGTACTTGGATGGACCTCGGTACTACATATGGTTTGATACACTGCGCTTACCAGTGATACTTGGGGATTGCGAAAAAGGTGAAAAACAGATTTTCTGATTCTTTATAACTTTTCTAACTGATCAAAGCAGTTCAGAAAAAATTCATTGGAAGCACGACCCTCGTCTAATTCTATCAAAATCAACTATTCTCAAACAATTGGACAAGTGGAGAGAAAACATCAATAAGGACTTGAACTCATAGCTGAGTTCCTCAGAAACAGACCCGTGAAAGCAAATATCTCGAACTCCAATGCAAGCATCCAAGGAAATATGGAACCACCTATGATCGATGTATAGCTTCACTATGCCTGTACACGTATCGTGAATATGACTATGACCTGGTGATTTCGATCGGTGGAATGTTGGTTTCGAGGAACCCTCAAAGGCACAGTTTACGACAATTTTAGAGTACCCTTTCAACTGAAAAGCGGAAGTGTTGATGCAGAGTGGTAGGTGGCCAAGAAAGCGAGAAATTTGAACGAAGAGAGCGAAGAAACGAGAACGAAAACAAGAAGGTCCTTTGAAGTAGTGGAAATAAAGGTTGTACGAGATCACTATGATGGGGATTTCATGTAAGGGGTGTTTGGACGAGATTTCATTTGCTCTAACTTCGCAAAGAGCTAACTACATCAAGCTGAAATTGTCCGAAACTGTGTTTCACTGTCGCCGTAGGTTGTGACGTTGTTGTTGGAAGCTCCTACATGGGGTTGGAAGCTCCTACATGGGAGTCCTTTGATATAGTGCAGCCTCCACAACGCCGTTGAAACTCGTCCACTATGGGTGTGGTATTTACACTATGCAATCCCTGGCAACTTATTGGGCACTATCTAGGGCATTTTTCGACCTTATAATGACAGGTACTTATAATGACAGGTATGGTATAATGGGGAGCCTCGAATTCATACTACAGAGGGATTTCAGAATTCAATTTTATCGTGAACTGTGCCTTTACTTGCGATCGATATCGATCGAATCGACATAACTCTAGTCGATAATCGGTTGTCGTTTTCTGTCACTGATTTGAAGGAGGATTTCTACCTGTTTTATATGCTCAGCCCTCACTGGCTCCTGCTCAGTTCCAAAATTATTTCCTAACAATTACCATCTTAATTTGAACAGAAAGTATTTCTTAATGGAGCACTTCTGGATTAAACAATTTTCTTCTCACAAGTCGTATGCCTGGTGTTTGTTGTGAACTAAAGCTCCCAATTTTTAGGCGGTATTGGGATGAAGTTACGGGTTTTGGCGTTTTTCCACCACAAGAAGAGGGGAAGGGACGGTCGTTAGTTACCTTTGCCATACATGTTACTGCCTCAATCGCCACGAGCTTACCCAAGCCTCTTCAAGTTGTACCAAAAGCTCCCAAAATTCTTCGGGAGTCGATTGCACTGAAAAATTTGAACTAATAATTATGAATA